TACTATACTAATTTGTAATGATTTGCACACTGGCTAGGATAAACTGCTAAGTGTAATGCATGTAACATGAATTCTAAATATAATCATCATCATCATCTTGTAAAATTTCCTCATAATTGGATTCACGTTTTAACTCTGAGTCACTTGAGTGAGCAGACATGGCCTGCTGCCCTATTGTAGCACTAAGAGTACTCACATCTTGTGTTGATGTGCCAATGGTACTTGCATCTTGATAAAGAGGACCCTCATCAGCATTCTTGAAACCTACATAGCTAGGATTATCACCTACTGATATATCTGGAGGCTCATTGCTGCTACCTAAGAGTTCTTCCTCATCTAGGGCTTCATAAATTTCTGGAGTGTCTGGATCCACATTTTGAGTCATTGTTGGAAGAGCTGAATAGCTTGGGTTATTTCCCAAAGATATGTCTTGATGAAGCTGAGTTCCATCATCAATAATGTGATCTGAAATTTCTAATACTTCATAATTTTGTGGAACTGTTGCTTGAAAGCTAACAGAAGAATAACTAGGGTTAGTACCTAATCTTAGATCCTCCAGTGGTTCATCCTTAGGATGAGATTCTTGTATTGCATTTTCAGATTCTTGAGGCTGAACATTAAGTACTTTTACAGTTGTCGAGTAGCTAGGATTATGTCCCATTGATATATCTTGATCCTGATGATCACCATCATGTTGAGAAGGCTCCATCTCGTCAACTGCTTCATATATAGTGTCTTTTTGATTTTTAGAACCAGATTCTTGATTTAGAGATTCTTTAGTTTTACCAGAAGAGTTCACTTCACTTTCATTTATTGCATCATAAAGTGCATCTGTAGTGGTGTTTATAACCTATTTAGGTGAAAGAAGATAGAATATGTGAATAACTATATTTTTGTTAACTTTAATTGCAATATCTGATACACATAAAGTTATGTAATAAAGTTAAAGGATAAGCTGATTTTAGATTTTTTAAAAAGTTGTACATGGCCTAAAACCATGGACAATAGTACATGGACATGGACATTGAACATAATAATGCAACAAAATTAATCAAAATAATCATTAAATTCTAATTTTAAATTTTGAAGTAATAGTAGATTTAATGTGATGTGTGATAGTATAAATAAATTTTTACACAACATAAGTACATGTATGTGCAGCATCAGAAAAAAAATATAAAAATGGAGAATTTTTTTATAGTCATTTTTAGTGAAATACACTGTACTTTAGTACTTAACAAGAAGCTGAATACTATGCTAAAATCCTTAGGAAAACCCTATAATAATCATAATCTGGTGCATACATGTATAGACTTGGCGCAAAGGGCATCATAGTTGACTACTGTCATTAGCAAAGATAGTCTACCATGCAATTACAAACATTTACTTTACTTCACTTGATATCCCTTTCAATTACTATTACAGTCTATTATAACCGTACCTCTTTCTCTTTCTTTCCTCTAAAAATAAACTTTTTGTATTTCTGCAGCAGTAGAGAAGTGATAAGAATGCATATAGATACTGTGATCCATATAGCACTGATAATGAATAATAATAACAAAAGGTGTCCTGCATAGGAGACTAAAGTGATGTTAATATCACAGGATACTGGTATGATAGTGCTTACTGCATGAACAGTTATCCCAAGCAAGAATATAAAAACCAGATGATGTTGAGCAGGTTCTACAGCAATCATTGGACTCACAAACACTACAGTGACTAGTACACACTGTCAGAAGGAAGAGGAAGAAAAACAAGTTTGGCTGACATGATATGTCAGTGGAATGTTTGTTAGTTTTGATTTGTTTTGGATTTCAGTTTACTATTTTGATTCTTGACAAATTAAAAACATAACAGGTATACTACTGAATATTACCTGCTTTTGTTATGTGCATAGTAGGGAATCCTATTGCATAAACATATTAGTTTGTACAATAGGCTTCCCTGTTATGCATGCACATAACAAAAAATTGAAAGTTAATAGCTGATAGTGGTACAGTGTACTGCACAAATGCTGCACAAATAATATAATATTTTATTATGAACTATGGGTACATTTGTCTCATAGCTAAAGCAAACACACAAGTTGCTTATTCAAGTGGGAGATGTTTACATGTGCAGTTGGATCTTATTACCTGGAAATAATGTTATTATAGTGATTAGACTGATTGCTACTCTTCTCATGCTCATACACATAGCAAGGACAATTAAAGCTAGTTGTATACTTGTTTTACTCTAAATAATTATTACCTTTACAAATATTCATCAAGTCACCGTTGCATCGAAGGCAATCTCTTTTTGTAGCTGATAACAATTCAGTGCTGTACATCAATGATGTTGATGATTGAGCTTCAAGTTCATCATGGCTCCATGAGTCCTCAAAGCACTGCATGGCAAAATGAATTGTCCTCACAGTAGTATTCCCATAAGTAGTGTAATTAGCTAATAACGAGACTGATCTGTAAGTCCCTTGAACTTTTCCTGAAGCTAAGCATGTGAAGTGAAAGTCTAACAGATTTGTATTGCTGGTAGAAGACAAAAGTTGACTGAGTTCATTTCTTATCACATCCCGGTTAGGTAGAGATATGGCACATTCTTGAGCTGAAACTCTTTGCACCAACACCAAAGACAGAAGAAAAATTCTAAGACCAAACATCATCAAGTACTCACAGGAATCAGGAATTGTACAGCAGCGGAGCGAGGAGAGTGTACTAAGACACGCCCACATACAAAATAATTATATAATTATCACGAAGTAAACAACAACAATAAAAAATGATTAAATCCATTTAGTGTAATCAAATTACATTATTGATCTTTTTTTACAGCACTTCTTTTTTTTAGATCCAGGAGCTATAAAATTTATAAAATTATTATGAAAGCTATTAATAAAAAAATAAGAACCACACAGTTCATTTCCAAATGCCAAGGCAATAACAATAACAAGAACAATAGGAAT